ATCTTATTCTCATTCAGTGGGAAATAGGGCGTTTTTTCCACAACTAAGAAAAATATTGTAGTTATAAAGAAAATAAAAATACTCACCGAAAAGCCGCGGAAAATGAGTAGCCGGATTGCCTTTCGCTCCTGTCATGATCAACAATCCTGTTACTGTTTGCCGATAATCCATTAAACTATTCAGAAAATTCAGTGTCTGAAAAACAGGCATTTCTAATAAAAGAAACACTTTTGTTAAGCCTGAGTAATTTGATCGGGATTCATATAAACCACTCACATTTGATGTAATTTGATGTACATTGCCATCCATAGGCACAAATTTGTTGGAATCACTCGTTAAATGATCGAAAAAAGCATCAAGAGCTTCCTTTGCCTTATCGTGAATCTTTTTCACAAAACTTTCATATGGTACATCCTCAACAGCGTTCTGCAAACATAATGAATTATTTCATTTTGCATTACCCCCATTCCAGTTCCATTACTAATATGCTTCCTGGAAGGAAATCCACAGTTGGAACTAGCTCCTATATGGAAAAATTGATTTTTATCTTAGCTTCTGGCTCTTACGTTTCGATTACCTTAAAGTGGAGCTACCTTAAAAGGCTCGACAATAAGGATTACATGGTTCCAAAGTTAGGCAAGTCAGGCAATAATGGACTCCGTTATATTAAGTGATGGAATTCGGATGCATTCCTGGCATCCGCTATGTGGTACAGCGAACATTGTGATCTATGTTTAACGCAGAAAAACTTGGAAGCATAAAACCTCATCCTAAAATCAAGTTGAGCTTGGATTCCTAGAAAACAAACTCTGCAATAAAATTTATGAAGTGGTAAATACAAAATCGACACAAGGTTAGTTCAGAAGGCTGAGTGAATACATAATAAGCAAGAAACATACATTTCCAAGAGACAATAACTGCAAGTAATGAGCATTAATATGTTTGAGAAGAGGTAAAAATGGAATTAGAGAGCAACTGATTCCATCCATGAGATTGCTTCCACGTCCCACAACATACAATAATGGACGACCAAATAATAACTGCTGCACTTTGGCTTCGGCACTCACATCTGCTATTACTTTACTTATCAGCTCTGCTTCAATCTGCAGCATCATTGAATGAGAAGTGAAATTTTCTGTTACTTATTTAAATTTCTTCTTCTAGAAAAGTGAAACTACTTTTTTTTTGTTTGAAATTAGAAGCATCATCCAACTATGCCTGCCATAAAATCTGAATTTAAGTGATTAAATTAAAAGAAATGAAATGAACCTCTATAAGCGCAAGTAACGTTCCAAGCAAAACCAAAATATTTTCGACAGCATCGTCTGATGCACGCCATTCCCATGCTGAATCTGACATGTACTTCTGTACTCCATTTAGTAATTATGGAAAACGGAAATGTCACCGTTAAAATTACAGAATATCTTCAATTTTGAATTCTCAGAAAAGCCCAACAAAATTTCTGTGATATTTTACTGCATTAATAAAAACTGAAATGAGAACCATATCTTTCAGAAGAACGGCCGGTTGCTTTTCGTAAAGCTCTGAAATAATGATCTTAAGTGTTACGTAAAACTCGCCATTATTTATCTTCTATGAACTCTAAAGTCTGAGAAAATGTATTTCGAATGGTAAAAGTAAATGCTGATAACTTCCTTAATGAGTTCAGAATTGTCAGAATCTGTTATTACTAGATCTATTGATACAAAACCAACAAATGTAAACTTACTGCCTCAACGACCCTGCTGATTTTGAAGACAATGAAACATTGGTTTTATTATTTGAAGAAAACCGTTGTTGGTTAGCAACAGTCAGAGTTCGAAGCATATTATCACATCGAATACTAGCGTATGTTTTGATCATAGAACCTTCTGGATTATATGTTAACAACCAACGAGCTATTTGTGCACACTGTTCAATATTGCGTAATGTGACCAGCCCACGGAGTCGAGTACTTATTACTTCTTAAATTGCACTTTAATTCAAATCCTAATTTAAGTGTCAGTTAATTTTTGACTATTTTTTTTCCATTTTATGGTTGAATATAGTTCTAACCATTAATATCCTAAGCAGGTGGATAAGTTAGGGTACATGATGAGCAACTTAATGGTGTGCATTAGCAGAGTCTTTTAATAATAATGTCTCACAATATGTGAATGTGTGCAGTTATGTTATTTCTAAGAATGTATTAAACTAAATATCAGTCGAATTTTGTTGTCGTATGTAGCTATGGACCAATAACACACAGAAATTTGTATTACTGATGTTTTCACAAAAATATTTCCTACGAATATATATATATATATATATATATATATATAATTTGCAAGTAGCATATTCCGAAATAAAATCCATTCCATTTAAAACAAAACTATTTAGAAATCCGATTTCTACAAAAGTAGTTTTATTAGGTACTAGTGAAATACTACCGATAATGGATCTTAAGTGAAGAGATAAGTTCTAAATAAGCATTCGTCACAGAACAGCGTCTCAGCTTGAATTTAGAAAATTTATTACTAGCCATATTCATTATCCAAGGATTCGCTGATAATTGCTGCATCCAAGACTACTGAATTTGCAAGTAGCATATTCCGAAATTCTTTTTCAAGTGCACAGCAACCAGATTCAAAAGTCAGCCTCTGAGAAAAGAAATGTAATGAAATACGTGAAAATCTGCAATATATAAAGTTGTGCATCGAACATTTCAAGGCGTAAAGTGAAAATAACTTTCATGAAGTGAAAGTCTTAAAATGAGAATAGATACAATTAGAAGAACCCATGTGTCTTTTGATAAATGACAACATTTTGGTTACAATCACCACGTGGCCGAAATTTCCCTAACAAAGCTTACAATGCCAACTGTCAGTCACTTCGTTCTTTCTGCTAACCAAGCTACCGCAGTTTTGGACTGCCAGAGCTTGACAGGTAAATATCAGAGCTTTTTTTAGCTTCAGACATCCAAGTTAGATTCGAGAACACTTTAATATTGAACCTAAATCGACCTTTCCGCAATGATTAGCGCAACAAAAAAAGAACTGAATTCCCTTCACAAATGAAAAACTGAGTTGAAAATATTTCTGTGCTGAAATACATTCTGAAAAAACCAAAAAAAAGAAAAAAAACCATGCTATCGAGCTGATTTTGATATGTTGGATGGGAGGAGAAGAAAGAAATAGCCTCAGCTAGCTGTTCCATTCTTTCAATGAACTGTTCTCTTTCCACAGAGGCATTCCCCTCACGTATTGAGCACTCTAATTCCGCAGCACGACCATAAAACTGTTGCATTGCATCGACGGTTTTTAATACTTTTCGAATATCTGCGAATAATTAAATAAGGAAAAAGTTGAAATCTATTAAGCTTTATCATCGTATAGAAAGTTTGTTGTCGTATCAAAAAATGCAGCTCCCATTCTCCCTTTTTTTGAGTGTTATACTGGTTTTGTTTTTTCGATTAGAATAAAATGTACAAATAAAGATTTCAGAAAAATTGGTAAAGCAACTCACTTGCTTGCTTTTGTCGTAAGAGGGCAGTTTTTTCATATAGTGGAACAATGCTCTGGTCCAACTGCACCAGCCGATTTCGAAAACTTTCCAGCAATGCTGTGATCTCATTATTCAGATTTCTACTCTTCTTCAGATTTTCTTCAAAAGTCTTCAACCATTCACTGTCCTAAACCGGAAGATTTCAAAATTCATTACATTAGATACAGTAACATGAGCACTATAATGAACATTGTGGATTATTATCAATTGTACAGCAAATATGTTAAAAAGAGGCAATAAATGTCACGGAGTGACCAGATTTGACTGACTTTATCGACAAAACACAATAACCAATACTACTAATTTAGTTAACCAATACAAATATCAAAACGAGATAACCGAAAAAAGGCCATTTTCTGAGTTTCGATATAAAAACAAATAAGAAAAATCTCACCTGTTGCAATTTAGCATCAACATTGTGAGCAACATAATCGTCTGCATCTGTGGACATGAACACAAATCTAAAATATTGATTACTTTGACGGCATCATAATAAATATCTTCATTCTTCACCAATCAAAACTTTCTGTCCCTTTAAAAGCGACCCCCACATAACCCATGAAAACATCACAATCAAAGCAAAACTTGAAACTTCCATCCGAATTTGCATATTTCCGAAACTCCACCGAACCGATTTAAAACCGAACGAACAGCAACTCTTTGTCATCCGAGAATGTTGCAACGCAGGTCGACAAGTCATAGCATTTTCATTCGAATTTTTTTTTTAAACCTTCATCGAAACTTTTTTTTTAATTTTTAAACCTTCATCGAAACCGATCAAACAGGAAAGAAGAAAAAAGACACGAGAAATTCGTGAGTAACTCTCAAATGACCGTCTCCCAATGATAAATACAATACTAGCGGGGAAAGTTGCAAGAAAAAGTACATGTGATCAATGTTTGGAATAGCTCGTTCGTTACTGGATGACAGAGAATGCTACCATTGAAGTATTGAAAGGTATTGAAGGAATAAATTGATATTTAAAATGAAATCAATGATGCACCACATCGTTTAAATGTTTTACGAAAATTCGGGAGATACTAGCACATATGCTGGAAATCCCGAGCATCGGGGAGATAACACATCTCTGAAAGTTGTTGTTGCACTGAGCGATACAAAAATGCATGTATAACTTTTTGGAATGGATTTCTTACATCCTAAATTTTAGGAACAGAAGAAGTACTACATTATTACTCCTAAGCATTCTACAGCAGGGAGATTGATACGATCTAGGCGCTACAATCACGTACGTGACCCGACGTCTGATGTTTGTTAGCTTTATTATTGATACTAATATTCCTAATCCCTTTCGAATTGGTTTTTCTTTGAATTGGTGTAAATGTTGGGTATCCAATTTCTGTCTTTTCTTGAATAGCGACAAAGATTTTGGTATTTGTTGTTCTGATATATTTAGTTAAATTTAAAGATTTAATAAAATTGAAAGTGTTGCTTCGAAGATGAAAGAAGTACGGACCATTCAACGCATGAACTGGAATTGGATAGCTGAGAATGAAGCACATGTGAAGTCATTGTGGTTACGTAAAGATGGCTTTTCTGGTTTGTCTTAAAACGGAGTGAATTTTATTGAAAATTACTGTGAAGTTTAGAATTAAATTCATTATCCTGATTTTAAATAAACGAAATGAAATTTTATCGGCTGAAAAGAAAGTTGCAAAATTTTTCGAACTATTACATAAACACAAAAAATTAGCATTTGAAAAATGAATCTCAAAAATAATCCAAATTTTTTATTTGCCATACATAACATTGGCAAAATTTTCCTGATACTTTAATTAGCGAAGGATTAAAATGAATGTTTTGACCGCACAATTGTCTTAGGCATGGGAGTGGGAGGAGAGGCTTTGTGTAGAACATCTATGCCAAATTAGGCGACATTAGTTATCGTTTTACGGAGGGATGAAGTTGTCTTTGATTGTTGCACGCTTTATGATATTATGGTATGTGATCATGAGCGTTATAAAATCATATTTTCATACTTTTAGTGATAGTAAGCATACTACTGAAATAGTAATCCAATAGAGGTTGGCTAGTCAGTAATTGATTATATCATTAGGAAGCGAAATAAATTTCTTCTTTTCCTAAATCTTATTTTTCCAGATTAAGCTTCAACTTTTATTACATTTATATTTCCATAAAATGTCTTCCAAATCGATGCATATTCTGAAATAGACTTGTTAAATTGTAGTCCGTCTGATGGCAAGGACGAAAGAGCCACCTGTAAGCTTGATTTTGCCTCTTGATAGTTGCTTCGATGTGCGCATTTTGCGGATTGATTATGCGCGTGGATTTATTTTTGTGCGCCCGCTGGCGGAAGACGATCACTACAGGGAATTGCAGCAGAAGTTAATGAAACATTCGTCAGCAGAACATGTCAGAGCAAGGAATTTGAATGAAGGTATAATTGGTCGTTAAAATAAAGCATTCCTGAGAAGTGTTTTTTTTCAATTTATTTTTAATTAGAATAAACAAACGAAGTGGAAATATTCATCAGTGGTTTTGAGATTTTTAGATGCAATATATTTGGCATCCAAGAACGGTGGTGTATTTCGTGGAACCCTTATCGGTAAGGCATCGGCGATGAACTTGGTAAATTTTAAACTTTCTGGATTTGATATGTGAAGATTAAGCGCTATAGTTGTCTTTCCTGAACAATTTATGTAAAGGCAGTTAGTGAGAATATGATCAATATGATCAGTGACAATGTGATGGCATGCATAATTTCTTAATGGTAATCACTTAATTAACTGAGTGCCACATCCATTAACAGGGAGAATTATCTGTTTCTTTTGGATAAACATTCGAAATATAATGTTAAATTTACAAAGAAATATTCTTTGAAAAAAAACTGTTGGTTTTCGTGCGGCGATTTCAAAATGGGCGCAGAGTGTGTTCCGAGAAGAATTCTGAATAGTTGAAGACTTTAGAAATAATGAACAAAAAAACGGTAGTTCAACTCTCTTTTATGAGTTTGCCAGTCAACCTTTTCTTCCTCAATAAAGTCAAGTTTCGAATCTTTCTATTTGCAGCTTTATGGAATTGATGTTGGCGAAATGAAATTTATAAATGCACAAAGCATCCACCAACTCCCTGTTGATCTTCAGTCAATCCCGCCACTTTGCTTTTGCGGTTTATTACCTAATTGCACAACGAGTTTTGATTACGTCGATCTTTCATTAATAAATGAGAACAGCATTTGTTTGTGCAAAATCTGTAAGTAAATGGAAATACGCTTCGCTGATGTGATAAAAAGATATTTAGCCCGAATTAAGTCTGAGCAAAAAAAAGCTTGATAGCGTGATGTTCAAATTTCGACTGATTTTAATAAAGTAAATAAGAGTGTAAATCCACTCATACAATTCGTATTTAAATAATAATTGTATTCCAATCTTTTTTCAGATAAAGTCCTTCCAGAACATTTTTCGGACTACCCTACTGCGATGTATCCACCAGTTGTGTTTATCCAGCTGTACAAATTTACCGGTGATCATAACAAATATGTTGAAGTTATTTTCGAACGAGTGAGCTTATTTATTTCCCTTCTACAACACCTTATTCTTTTAGATTTTCTTTGAAATAATTTCTTTATATCAGAAATTGAGAACGATAAAGAGCAACAACGAATATTTTGCTTCACAGTATGCTGTTTCCAGTGAAAGTTTAGTCACAAAAAGGAGGAATCGTCTAAAGATTGAAAAACCGACAAATGTTTTTCAGGGAGTCTCACAGACTTATGATGTAAGTTTCTATCAAACTGGTTTATGCTAACAAAATTTTTAATATTTAATTCATTGCTGCAGTGGGCAGTGAAAAGTGTCGCTTGTGAAGGTCGATGAGAGAAATTGCCTCACTAACTCTCAGATTTTATAATGCTTCTGATTCAGCCTGAAACTCTGAAAGGTCGTATATTAGTGGTGATTGATGATGATATTTATTTCTCTTTTTTTTTGTTTTCACGACCTTTTGGCAGTCGTCTAGTTTCATTTGCTTCATTATTTAAAAAAATTTCACCGTTAGGCTTTTAGGAAAAAAGGTTTTAGGATCTAGTGAACACTGTTGTCCACTACTTGAATGATTATCTGTCGAAAAAAATATTAATCATTCATGGATCATATTGGATCATATCTTATCTGTATGACTTCGATTCTTGCAATCGCTGTCGTTGAAAACTATTTTAAGACTGTTCTTGTCATGGATATAAGTCTCTCTTCTAAATTACCCAGTTCTTTTCATTTATGACTGACAGGGTTTTTAAATTGTGTTAAATTCCGGAATCTATGAGTTATTTGCCGGAGTTATTATGCAGCTGAGATCGTCGCAGCCGCCGCGCCGGTCTTTTATTCATCTTTTGTTCATCTGTCGAATTCATAGTTAGTTAGTAAATAGTAAGTTAGTAAAACTGGCTTGATTTTAAGCTAATTTTTTTTAGTACTTTGTTTTCATAATCTTACAGTCAATTATGTCTGGCGATTCATTTAATTTTGTAGAATTTTGTAAAAACAGACAGTAATGGTCCATACGGTGAGATGGGAGATTTTACTTTTAAACCTTACAACGTTAAAGTACCATCTCAAGTAAGGGCGATTGTGACGGCAAAAATTCGACGTAATGTTTATTGGATGCGAGATGCAGACATTTTGTCCATCTTATCTGAGGTAAGGACTACTAGCCCATTGCTCCATTTGAAACAGTTTATCACTATTTTGTCAGTAGCGTTTTTTATTTCTAGTTATTGAAATTTATTACTAGTCATTTCAGTCATTGTTGGATAGCTGTTTACAGAGAGATAGTCTATATGCAAAATATATGTTTGAAATAGCAAGCCTATATTTTAAGTTCCTTAAATAGAAAATCAATCAGATTCTCAGTGCTGGGATTTCTATCTAAAGGACTTAAAATAGAAAAAAAATGCAGCCACAATAGTTTTATTTTTTTCTCAGTTAAAGATTTATTGCCAATCATTTCAAGTTCTTTAGTTCGTTTATTAGATATTTTCTCATTATTTTTGTCATTACGATTGTTTCTTTGTATGGCTGATATTATTTCAAAAAAAAATTTAATCTCAACGTAGTTAATTTCAGGAAGTATTATTTTTTTCTTGATTTGGGAAAGGCAGCTCTTGAATCATTTGAAATTCTAATACGAAATTTCAGATGCATGATTATACCAAATATGTGATACTTTTGAAATAAATCAGGTTCTTTAAACAGAATTTGGTTGATCCGAGAAAATACAAATCGGTTAATCCAGTAGAATGGCATAACGAGATGTGTTGTTTGGTACGGTTGACAAGACCGTTTCGAGAGTGCAGTCCATACGATCGATTTTCCGTTTACCGGTGGGTGTTTGACTTCATTAAGATTCTGGAAGTTTTCCAGTAGTGTTACAGCATTCGTTTCATTTCCGACAAATTTTTAGAGAAATGTTTATCATTACCCAAAAAATGTTACGACATGCATCAGTATCTCTCCCTTTAGTGTTCAAAAAAAGCTCTTGAAATTCAACTGCATGTTTAAGCCGCGATATATGAAGTCATGTTACCGTGACTAAAGATATGCTCCAGTAATAGTTCCTAAAAAAGTCAGTAGTCAAATGACGCAGATATTATTGTAGAGCAATTGTCACTCATTTTCACAAGGAGACTGATACTTGTTTGGCATATCTTGTTGACTTTGGTCTATCGATTGTTTGTAATACCAAGAATTTATACAATTGTAAAGAGCAGGTTCGTTTTTATATAATTCCATCTTTATTTGTTGGTGACGGATGGAAAAAAAATTTTAAATCGAAACAAGCGAATTTGTCTGTAAATGTCTGGTCTACTTAAATATGCTAAGAAACAGTCAAACGCCACATTTTTTGAAAACAATATATTTTTAGCCTGCGGTGATACGTGAGATTTCATCTGCTGCGTTCAGGTGCTATGTGAATCGAGTTTTGCGACAGGGAAGTTGTGAGCGTACGACACCCAAAGCAAGACCATTTTGCATTTCCCACCTTATACCAATCAAATTTTTGAATATTTCGAAAAAATTGATTGACTTTATTAGGAAATTTAGTAGCCCTCGGCAATTTTTGGAACTTTGAAGGGGAAATTTAAGCGGAAATTTAAGCATATGATTTATTCATTAGCCATGTTTGTTGCTTGAAAATCTAGGAATATTATGACATTAAACTTTAAAAGCATGATGATAGCATACTGATAGCATGTAGTTGTATGTACATGCAGTGACTTGCTTCCATTTTCAGCTGTTAAGTGAAGAACTCTATAATATACAGCTCTCATATCTGCATAACGATTTTTATGTATGTGACATGATGTCTGGGATACAGTGCTTAAGATCTGAATCGGATTCAATCGACAGTGATAATAGAAATGAAAGCATTAAAAATTTAAGAAATGCAGATATAAGCATTGAAGTTTCTTCATCAAATGAAGTAAGCAATGAAAGACTTGAAGTGGACCAGAATAATCAACAGTGGTTTCAACTTCAGTCAAACAATTTATGTGGAAGGAACAAATCCACTAGGTTGTTAACTTTTATTTTAATTATTTCAAGAGTCGTTTCTAAACTGATTTGTCAGGACAACTTATCTTTTATCACTCCTCAAAAAACGAGTGCATTTAAGGAGTGAAGTAACGCTGACTTCAATACAATTTGATATCCTGAAAATATCCGAAAAAATTGATAATATTACTAATGCAAAACTTGCTTCTCTATATATGGTCAGTTATAGATTTTCTTTACGTTTTTACTTGTTTTTATATTAGTAAAGATAGTATTATTCACCACTGACTGATTGTGCCAAATTAATGTTGTCGCTGTTACGGGACATGTTTCCAGTCATATAAATATATTGTTTCAAATGATGCCATGTCTTAACCCTTTCGCTTGCATTTTCATTTTGATATATAGTAAGATATATATAGTAGGCTTATACGTGACGCTTTTTTACGGTGGTGAATTGGTTAATTGGTTAAAGATCTGATTCTCTATTACAGAAACATCGAGACCAACTGATATCTGTGCTATTTCTTAGGCTATGGAAAGTTGTGGTCACTGCGGAAGAACTAAAAATGTGTCTTCATTGCAGCAGTCTTGCCGGAAGAATAGTCAGAATCCTTCAATGCCAATGATTGAATCCATCCAAATGCAACAGTTCCAGTGATTTTTGGTTCCTAAAATTAATTGTTTCGCTATTTTAACGGTCATAAAATAGGGTTTTTCAGATTTGATGCACCTGCAAGTGATTTAGGAATTCCAGAATCCAGCTACAATTTGTATGGAAAGATGAAAACAGTAATGGTTCCTCTTTTAAAGAGATTTTTCTTTACAAACGAAAAATTTTCTCATTTTAGTGATAAACAAACATACCGCTCGCTATTTTAGCTATTTTTTCAATTTTTCTCTTTTTCTATTTTCTCAATTTTTCCATATATGGGAAGGTAACAGGATTATAATAAACATCATCGCTGCAGCAGGTAAAAACTGAAACATTTAGTGACATTTATATATTTAATATTAAAGGGAATACGTCAAAATCTAACTCGCACAATTAAAAATCGAAATGATTATAAGAAGCACAGATCAATTCGTACCATGGAAAATGGCCAACTTTCTCTGGGTATGTTTCCCTCACTTCTGGAAATAAACTACCTGTCTTCCTAATTTTTAATAAACAAAACTAGGTGTTTACTTTGTTCCACGAAAAAAAAATTAGAATTATGGAATTGTTCCGTTGTTTCAAGAGGAATACAGTATTACAGAGCCTGTATGTTAACAGTTATTTACGAAATTCACGAAGTATAAAGTGTGACTTTTTTCAGGTTTATCACATTGTGCGAAGTCAAGATATATAATTCCCTCGGTAATACCAGTTCTGGTACCTGTTGCCGTTCCGCTACAGTATTCTTCAAGCTATGAAAGTTGCCATAGAGGTACGTCAAATAATTCCATTATAAAAATGAGGTGACAGAACGGCATTTCCGAAATTCTCAGCAATATTAAGGCACGATAATGGGACAGTACCAATGGTTTTCAGTTTACTATGCATCCTTCACCTGAAAGTAGTTACTCCAAAGTAGTGGTATATTAACTCCAGGACATGGTGGGCGTGATGAATACCAACATGATAAGCATGGATACAACCAATTGAATGGCAATACATTAAAAGTAAAAAGAACCAATTTTCATATGCAAAAGTGCAAACGTCCATCGGAAGGCAATGTCAGCATGGTTAAGAAACGGCAGCATGATAAGCATTGCAAAGGTCGTCCATTCACCAATAAGGTTCCTTGATTTTACCAATCCCTAAACATAGTGTCAGCTACAGTTTAATGAAAGACCATATATTATAGTGCATTAATTCTCATTTCATATTTCTCTTCGTTATTCTGTACATTCTTAACAATAAAAAGAGAGAGATTAGCACTGTTTAGGGATGCCATATTAAAATAGTAGAATTAATGTAGATAAGGTGGTTTTTTTATAATTCATCAGGATTTTTTTCCAAGCAGTGGTAATTTCTCGTTAAAACTCTATCATTACTGGAAATTTTCACATTTATTCCTTGCATTATTTCTGCGTTTTATCTATATTGTACACATAAATCTTTAGGGAATTTCGAAAACGTTTTACGTTCGGAAACTCCGCAACCGTGAAGGTAAATTGTTATATACTTCCGATGAATCGTCAGCAGACGAAACTCCCTCTGGTGAGGCAAACTGCCGGCTTATCATACGTGATGATGATGTTTTTGTTGAAGACAAAGTTAGTTTGTATTCATATTTGCAATAATAGGGGACCTCTAAATTCCAGAAATACTAGATATTTTTAATGTCCATTTATAGTAGTTCAAAAAGTGTTTACAGACCGATGTCACTGCTAACTTATTGGAAAAGGAGCTTGTTTTGGATATCAATGACCCAATAACTTCTTTTGTACACCCAAGAAAACATGCTTTGGTTTATCAGGTTTTATTGTTTCTTTTGAACTTTTTGCTGGGTTCCTCCCAGCTTTTGAACAATTATTTTGTTCCTTATGAGTTTTCCTCACGATCTGTAAAATAAAACATAGAAGCAGTTGGTATACTCATTCTAGGCTTTTTTTGAACATGTGAAAGTGGATGAAGGTGATGAAGTGCTAGTGAAAAGAAGTGATGATGACTATGACAACAAGAATTGGCCATTATTCTTCGTACAGATTCAGCGCGACGATTTGCTTGATGTGTTGGAAGAACAACTTGATTCGCTGCAGCCAACCGCTTTAATTAGTGAAGAGGAATTGGTGACTGATTCATAGTAACTTTAGAAAATTTAGTTAAATTTTTCGGATTCATTTCTGACGGCTCTTTTGATAAAGCTCTTTTATTCATTATGATACTCCAGGTTAGTAACTTACTGCTCTTAACGAATTGCATAACTCATGAATACATAACAGATCATTTCTTTAAGTAAGGAATTATTGCAGTTTTGGTTATTTTTACGTTTGCTTCTATTTTGTGTTTGCTAATTTATTTAGGAAATCCAAATTAGTTTGATGACACCATGACAACTACACATAAAATTGTTTGTTTCGATTGCTCGATCTATGGTGTTATTTTACTTAGCATACTGAATGGTTTGCAATTAGGTTTCATCAAAAGACTCTAAGCTGGACATGACATCTGTTCCCGTATGGAGTTATTTGTTCGCATTTTTCAGCAAGTGGGTACTTTATGTGTATCGTTTTGTCGTGCATTTGAATCAATGTTTCGAGCAGTCATAACAAATATATGCAATGCTGATATTGAAGTTCATTATGTAGATTATGGCAATTATGAAATAGTGGACAGGAACGATTTAAAGTCGATCAGTGACCTGGTAGATGTATTTTCAAATATTCTTATCAATTTACTTTGCAAACTATCACTGTAAGTAAGTAAAGGAGAGGCGTAATAGTTTTGTGGCTAACTTTGTTAGCTAGTTTTGGGATACGACTGATGGACTATACTCACATTACTACTTGGGGATAATGCGCTGATTGACTACAATATTATGATTTCCATAATTCATCAGTTAGATACTTAGGCTGTACGAATACATATATATATATATATATATATATATATATATATATATATATATATATATATATATATAT